TGTAGAGGGAATTACACACATGGTAATTGGGGCCTTAATGAACATTGGTGTTCAGGATAGTTAAGAAAATGTTCTCATTCTATAAAAGTCAGAGTGGAGAAATGGGGGAGGGGTTTCCATTTTTAGCACAGTGGCATTCCGCTTGAAGGCTAAGAGAACTAGGAATATGGTGTTTTTTCACTATCTGATCAGAAAACAGCTGGTAAGAATGATTATTAGTATTATTATTAAGCCATTCTTTGTAGTTGATGGAAGGCTGGTATCCAACCCACAATATCCCAACAGCTGAGCTGTTGAATGAGGTGCTCTCGAAACCCAGGCCCCATCATATTCTTCTTCACTGTTTCTAAGGTTCTGCTTTTCAGAAAGGCTACGTCTAGACTTCAAGCTTTTTTAAAAAAAAAGAGCGTCTAGACGACAACCAGTACTTTCGAAAGAGCAAGCCGCTTTTTCGAAAGAGAGCACCCAAGCAGTCTGGAGGCTCTCTTTCGAAAAAGCACAGTTTGCATTACAAAGCGCCTTTTTTCAAAAGAGCACTTTCAAAAAAAAGTGTTCTTCCTCGTAAAACGAAGTTTTCCAACGGTCGAAAAAACTGCCGCGTTCTTTCGATTTACTTTCGAAAGAATGCGGCAGCAGTCTAGACGCAGGGGAAGTTTTTTTGAAAAAAAGGCCACTTTTTTTGAAAAAATCCTATAGTCTAGACACACCCAAAGATATACTGCATAGGCAAGAGAGATGGGGTCAGACCTCAAAAAATACCCTGGATGCTAAAGGGAGTGGGGGTAACCAGACAGAAAACAAACCAATCTGAGGGAACTCTCACTTCTCCCTCAGTCCCACTACCTGCACGTGTGCCAACCCCCACTGGACTTTGGTCAGAAGACTACTGAGGTAACGCTATTAACTAAGGCTCCAACCCTGCAAAAGAGGAAACACTTCGAAGTTTTTCTTAGAAAAGAGGTTGCTGCATTCAAAGGATTTACTGAAAATTTCCACGTTTAGTGGGCCCATTCTCTCGCTCTGAGGCTGGCTCTGAGAGACAAAGCTACCTCATTCTAACGGGGGCCAGGAAAAAAATGGTTGTCTTAAAAAAAAATGAAATTCATTTCGGATTCATGACTAAACCAAAGACACATCTGTTCTTTCTGCAAGATGAATAACAACAAAATTACTTCATTTGCGTTGTTCCGCTTTGCATCTCTGTCACGATCATGAGGGTTAGCCTGCACCCTGGGGACTAAGGGGTTAATTATGTCCCTTACCTAAATCAGGTGGCAGGCAGCCAATAGGAATGCAGGTAGGAATTTCAAACTGGAACAAAGGAATTTTTGGGTTTTTCTCTCCTTTGTCTCTGGAGTAGTTTCTCTCCAGCTATTGAAGGGGACAGGATGTCTCCCTCTAAGAAAATGCTCTTCAGAGTCTGTAAGTAGGATAAAGTTTAGATAACTCCGTTAGGTTTTATTGTTTTATGGTTTGGGAGATGGGATCAGGTCTGTGCATTTAAAAATGGGTTTTGCTCTCCTTTGTAAATAAGTTCCTGGCCCATGGTAAATTTCTCCTCCATGAGTATATTATTTTGTTACTGTTCCATCTAGTCATTCTGCTTGTAACAGGAATATTGTGGTGATAATTAAAGTTCTTTCTCTTTTCTTTTTATAAACTTGGTATTGGATAATTTTTGTGTCCTAGTTTGTACTTTAGGGGTGAGATTTCCCAAGTGATCTCTCCCTTGTTGCTTTATTAATATTTGGGTGGTGGCAGCGGCATTTTATTCCCAAAATCTAGGCTGTTAAGATTTTGGGGGGAAGTTTTATACCACAGCCTGGTAGATAAGGTTTTGGGGGTACTTTTGCTGGCCCCACTTCTGCATTTATCGTGCCAGAGTGGGGAAGGAGCCATGGCAATCTCCCTGACCTTTCCTTGTTGCACACTCTTGAGTCTCACAACAGGGGTGAACCTTCCACGCTTGCTCCACAATCATGCCTCGCGTCCTGATGTCAGGAGCCCTCCCTTGCCCTGCACAGACGGAAGCAAAACGCTGATGCCCAGATGCCTTGCAGAGTCAGAAACAAAACCTTGCCATCACTTCTCACCCACCCCCTTCCCCACTGCCTGACCTAACACCATCCAGAACATGCTGTCCTTCTGGTTATGGAGTGAAGGATCAGGATTGGGCCCTTCACTCCATAACTAGAAGGGCCCAATCAATACCAGCAGTTGCAGTCACTTGTGATTTTTCCTGTGAGGCCAGGGCTCGGGACTGAAGTGAGGATTCCCATAGGACTTGGCATCTCAGGTCAGGCCCAAAGCTGGCGTTAAGTGGCCACGTGCACACTGAAGTCCATGGGGCGCTATCAATTAACAGCAGCAGCAGATCTGCCTCTGCAATGCCACCTACATCTCTAGGAGCGAAAAATGCCAGTACGTCATGGGAGAATGGAGAAAGCCAACATCTTGAATTAAAACAACTAGGAGTTTTGTGGCACCATTTCTGTGGGCATTAGCTTTCGTGGGTAAAACCCACTTCCTCAGATGCATCGCCTGTTTCTTAAGGGTTGCAAAAAGGAAGTTATCCAAATCTCTAAAGGATATCCAATTATGTACTTATTGAGCACACAAGAGTGAGTAGTTTGAAGTGGTTTAGAAAGGATCTGCTTACAGAAACAAGAAAACAAAGTTACTAGTTGTTTTTGGTAAAGTACCTTTCTCATCTGAATTCTTACAAACACCACTTCAGGCGTCAGGGGATTCTGAATATGAGATGCAAGAATAACCGACTTTCAAATACCATGTCAAGATTTTCCATTCTTATTTAAAAAAAAAAACCCTTCAAATACCATGTCAAGATTTTCCATTCTTATTTTTAAAAAAAACCTTTTCCCCCTAATTTGACGTTATAAAATTATGTGTTGAGCTAAACCTTCAAGCAGGGCAATAAATACTAAGGCTTTTTAATAAATAGCAACATCTGCATGAGCAGCAGCTCGTTTTACCATTAAATCATCAACAGCCAGATCGCCCCAAAATTGGCTATGATAAAATCCAGCTAAAATATCCCAAGCCCACCAAAAAAACACATCTGTGCCCTAGCCTAGAGAGAGCTATCAGAATTCCACATTGACTGAGCTGCTTTTAGCCAACACGGGCTCAAAAGACAGCAGCTTTTTTCACAAGTTTTCATTCACAGCTTCCAGAATGTGCTCCTCCTACAGGCTGAAGTTAGAAAGCTGCTCGGTTGTGCTGAACAAAAATTGCTTCTGAACTCCAGAAGTTCTGCACTTGTTCACAAAACAACAAATGGGTGAATACCCTATTCTATGCCAAAATGGACTCTGGGGTTTGAACGGGCTTTCTGAAACAGAACTTTCATTATTCACTCAGTAAAGCAATTCAGTGCAGCGATTAAAACAACAAACCAAACCCCACAATCTTTTCCAGAAAGCTTTCTATCCAAGGTAGCCAAGCGGAAAGGAAAAGTGTGTTTCTGTAACTGACAAAAAAAGATCAGCCTCTAGATACTTTGCTCCGAACATTTTTAAAGGTCTCTGCCTACTGGCGACAAGTGAAAAAGCTTGCTGCTGCTCCTTTTAAAAAAATGTTTGAGAAATCCAGACAGCATATCTAAATATTTATATTGCCTATATACTTGAATTAAAAATATATGGCAAATATATGTGTGTATACAGTATTTCTTACAAATACACACGCTAAGTGTGTGCCTAGAATATACACACATACATTCACACAGTATATATTAACCTATATTGCTCAAGTATATATACTATGTACACTATATAGCTATAGAAACAGAAAACACAGGTATTTATATATATATGTGTACAATAGATACATACTAGTATTTCTCTATAAACACGTTACATTTTATGACCGTACACACATGCACTCGCACACTTGCACAGCAAAAAGGAATTTGCAACTGAAACCCAATGGAAAAAGAGAAAAACTCGTCATTGCTTCATTGTAATACACAGCAGAGGTTTATATTTCTAAGTAAACAAAGGCCTCGGAAACAACAAAGACGACTGAGAACTACTTTGCCCCTGCCTCCCGTTAGAGGCACATCAACATTTTGGTGGTTGCTGAATGTTAAGAACATAAGAATGGCCATACCGGGTCAGACCAAATGTCCATCTAGCCCAGTATCCTACAGTGGCCAATACTCGATGCTCCAGAGGGAGGGAACACAACAGGTAATCCTCACGATTCCTCCTCTATCACCCACTTCCAGAGAAACAGAGGCTAGGGACACCATTCCTACCCATCCTAGCTAATAGCCATTGATAGACCTAACCTCCACGAATCTATCTATGATGCGGAAGGGCAGAAAATGGGCAGGAAGGGAGAAAATGAAGAGGATTCTATGTCATTAACGTAAGTTTCAAACACCCAACTGGATCAGCAACCATAGCTGAATAAAACTCTCCCAAAGGGTCAGCGAGACCCTCGCCTAGTTAGGTTCAGCTCTGGCAAGTTAAAGGCAGACTCGTGGTTTTATTTTTGCAGGATGCCTGAAGAAATACAGAATAGTTCGAGGAAGGGTGCAGTTCTTACAGAGACCCATCCTTACAGAGACCCAACTGTTGCAAGGCTTAAAAACCCACCAACCCTTACACATATCTATATTTTTTGCACAAAACCAGGTGCCAAACTCAGCAGAGTGGCAGTGAGACCAAATGGTTGCAGCGCTCCTGACCGCATCCTAGGAAAGGATTCCTTTCCTTCCCCCATTGTACGATCCCACTCATCTGGAGCATAGCTGAGCAGCTTGGATTTCCATGCAGGGGAGATCTGGGTGGACAAGGGGGCTGCCCCTAGGCTCACAGCCCTGGAGTAAGCTGTGTCATTGGGATCAGCATTGAGAGGAAGGTCCAGCAACTTGGGATACATCTAGACTACAGGTTTTTGTCGACAGAAGCTTTGTCGACAGATACTGTTGACAAAGCTTCTGTCTACAAAGAGCATCTAGACTTGTTTGACAAAGCTTCTGTCTACAAAGAGCGTCTAGACTTGTCCTGTTGATAAAGCAAGCCTCTTTGTTGACATGAAAGTGGAGACGCAAAGGGCAGTGTAGATGCAATAACACTTTCTGTTGACAGAACTCTGTCGACAAAAGGCGTTATTCCTCGTAGAATGAGGTTTACCACTGTTGACAAAACTGCCGAGTTCTGTCAACGTTATGTCAACAAAAGGTATAGTTTTGTCAACAAAAGTCCACTTTTGTCGACAAAACTCTGTAGTCTAGACATACCCTTGGGTTTCCTCAGGTGGTAAAAGGACTAGTTCCAGGAAGGGTTCTGACATATTGTTTGAGGACTGTGGTTCCCCACCTTTTCGAGCATATGGACCCCTTCTCAATCCATTAAAATGTCATGGACCCCCTCTTTGCTCTGTGGCGGAGGGAAAAAAAAGGAAAAGAAAAGTAAGGACAGAAAAAGAAAATAAGGATTGTGCCCACCTGAATGGGCCCAATCCTTATTTTAACACTTTCCACGGACCTCCTGCAGTACTGTTGTGGACCACTAGGGGTCTGTGGCCCACAGGTTGGGAACCACTGTTTTAGGAGACTCCCCCCCACCCGCCTCACCCCACCGAGCAAGTGTTGCTTGCAGAGTTAGCGGCTGCTGCACCATACAAGCACAACACAGCCCTTGTACCAACTAGAGATGGATCTGAACTCTCCCCAAATTTGAGTCGGAGGTTTCGGTTCATGCCAATTACAAAGATACGCTAAAGCCACGAAGATCCCATTCCCGTCTTGAACTAGTTCTAGGTTGTTCAAGGCCCCATCCTGGCACCATGCCTGATTGTTTTGCTCGTTTCTTTGTGTACATCTACGCTGGCACTGGAAGTGTCAGTCCCAGCGCGACTTGACATACCCACATTAGCTCTGCTCACGCTAGCACGCTACAAAGAGCAGCACAGTTGTAGTGGCAGCGGACTTGCTACCTGCTTTGAGTAAGATCCCATCCGGATATAGACTCTGCCAGCAGCAAACCTGTGCTGCGCCTTGGCCCCCCTGGCTACATGGCTCCATTTAGCATATTAGCTTGATCAGTTACGATTTCCCAAGCTGGAAATGACAGCTCAGTTCTTATTGTTATCATGCAACTTTGTCTATTGCACTTTACTACCATGTCAAATGATCCAGACCCAGTTGTACAAAACAATCCAGGCTTTCGGGGGTCACGAAGACAAAAAGAGGGTTAAAAACAGCCAATCCCCATGTAACTTTAGAGATACTGCATCACTTAATTTCATCACACACCTCCTGACTTTTCCAGGCTAACACTTCTAGGACAGGGTATCAACCTGGCAGGGGAAGAGAGTTTTAAAGCACCCCAGAGACATCTGCAAATCTCATAAACTTAAGGCCCCACTCCCTGAAAAAACAAACAACACAACTGTCATCTAAAATAGCCTGAGGGAACAGTGTAAATCACAATCAAAACAAGATCATTGTTTTTCTCTTTCAGTTAAGGCAGTAAAGCTGCTGCTCGGTTCAAGTAATCCCTTCATATAAATGTCTTCGCCCTTAGGAAGCAGCATCACTCGGTGAGAATAACAAATGGAATGGCTCTCCAGAGTGTCAACTGATTAATAATCGTTTTCCAATAGGTACTAATCTTGATAAGCAAAATTGTCGAACCCCACAACATTGCAAAACTATCTGCAGCTCTGCTGCTTAAAGAACTGAAATGGGAAGCAGTACACGGTAGTTGCGATCTCTTCTAGCAGGCAAGACATCTGTGCATGGCTAAATAAATCCATAGCGCCCCAAAGGGACACAGTCACTGTTCCAATGGATGAAAACACCTACACACTGAAAAATGACCAAACCAACCCCCATAAACCTTCTCACAACTCAGCCAGACTTCAGGAGACCGTGGCTTGACAGAAAGGCTCTCAGGAGCATCACAGTTTTAAAAACAGTAGGTGGGATGTTTTTAAAAATCACATTGTACAGCCTGAGCCTGAGTCTGCATATGTGCTGCCAAAGAGCATGAGGAAAGGAGCTTTGTAAGCAAATATCCAGAGACACAGGGTGCTGTGTCTGTAATTAGCATTCACCCCCAAAGTCTGCAGTTCCTCTAGTTCTCCAGGGAGTGGTTGGAAAGCCACCTAAAGGGAAACCAAAAGGTTCTTTTTAAGGCCCCTATTCAGTGAAGCCCTGAAGAACGTGCTTAACCTTGAGCATATGCTGAGGTCACTGGAACATCAGCAGGTGTTCAAAGAGAAGGGTTTAACCACGTAGAGAGGGTGGACTGAATTAAGGTCTAAAAAGGAAAGAGATCCATGTTATTGCCGAAAGACGCTTGAGTTCCATCAACTGGGTGACTGGCTGATTTAAAAAAATCTCCCAAAGAATCCTCCATTAATTTTGTGGGCATTGCAACATCAGGGCTAGAGCGAGCTTTCGGATAAACCAGATAACGAATCCTTAATACCCAGTCCGTCACAATCCTTGAGTAATCTGAATAATACAGGAAGTAGCATGTGTGTATCTATGTAGGTAGCGAATAATTACACACACACGTATGACTGTCACATGTACTCGTTGGTAGCAGCTGCCTGTTTAACAGCATTTAACAGAATGAAGCCAAAGCCTAGAGAAAATCCGTAAGATGCAGGGGGTGTTAATGGTTCTCTCTAAAGTTCTAGGGGATTGTAAATCCTCACTAAAGTTACAGGATGTACAATTTTTTAATTAAGGAAAGAGGGTGGGGGGAGAAGAGGTAAAACAGGCCAAAAGATGGCAAGAGAAATTCAGTTTCCCAACTATAAAACAAGGGTTCTTTGAATGCAGCCTTCCTCCTCACAGTCCCAATCTCTGCCATTTCTATGGGCTTGTTTCCACTATGCGGTGGATCCACTCTGTGGCGATCGATCCACTGGCCATCCATTTATTGTGTCTGCTTAGATGCGATAAATCAATCTCTGAGCGCTCTCCCGTCAACTCTGGTACTCCTTCATGATGAGAAGAACCACCAGAGTCGATGGAAGGGCAGCCCTGGCCAACCTCACCGCACAGAAGATGCCACGGTAAGTACGTCGACTTGCATAGCTAAAGCCACAGAGATTAGATCGACAGCAGGGGTCAGCATTGACAAGGCCTGTGTCTCATCAGAGTGTGGGTTTGTTGCCAACATATCGCACATCAGGGGCTTCCGTTGCAGACTCGTAAGTGATGCTTGCCCTCTCCATTCTGTGTTCCCCATCAGCTGGGTACCTTGGCTTTACCCCGTCCTGACTCGTGCCAGTTTGGAAGCAGGCTGACGATGTGTGGGGCCCGGAAGAACATTGGCCTCATTGGTTCTTTAGCACAGGGATGTCAAAATGTACGCAGCTCCGGGCGGGACTGCAGACCAGAGGGCTGTCTGTAAAAGACCAACATCACTTTCCTCTAAAAAAACTGGTAATAAGGAGCCAGACCAATGACCCTATGTGTCGGGGCATTTCTGTAGGACTCGATCCTGTTTCTAAAGTCCAAGCCCTGCGGGCCACTCTAAAGCCACTGAAGTCAGTGAAAAGACTCCCACTGGATCGAAACCTACCTTTGCCACCAAACCAGAGCCATGTTCTACCAAAGACATTATCCAGCATAAATCAATAGGATCCCAAGGGCACGGGTAAAAACATCGCCTGCTCTGGCCAACCGTTTTGCAGGATGGCAACGCGTTCATCAAGAGCCCCGCCCACAAAAGAACATGTGTAGCAGTCGAAAGGCCTAGGGTTGCCAGGTGTTCGATTTAATTGTGACTTCTGTCCGGTAAAAAAAAATAAATCAGAAAATACCGGACATGTAAAACGTTCGATATTTTCTGTTTTTCTTGGACGGAAGGCCGGGGGACATGTTACCCCTGTTGCGTCTGGCAGGGGGAGCGCGGGAATTTAAAGGCATTATGCCCCCCCACTTTTCCCCCTCAACAAGTTTGGTCTCCGTTGGTTTTTTTTTCTTCTCAAAAAGTTTAGTCCCCTCCCCCTTTTTTTTTTTTTGCTCAACCAATATTTTTCCCGCCATGTTCGGGATTTTTTGTGAAGGTATCTGGCAATCCTAGAAAGGCCAGGGAGCCAGGAGCTACCAATGTTGCTTCTGTGAAGAGTCCTAATTTGAGAAAGCCAGGAACTCAGGACCATGAGCTGCCTCACCCTTGTGACTAGAGATGTGGCGGAACAGCAGCGGGAGAGGGGAAGTGGCTCAGCAGAAATGGAAAAGAGTGGATTTGAGTCTTCATCACCTGCCTCTATTCGGCTTGTTATGCAAGTAGGCCTCATGGCAACCACCCTCAATGTTATGAGCCTCAGGATAGGGGAAAAGGGCAGGGGGGCATGAGATGATATTAAATCAAACTTCCTTGGGCTTGGAAGGGTTCCTGGACCCAATGTCGTAGTAAGAGGACGTTAGGGGGACTATGGAAAATGGAGCTAATACACATGCCTTCAACAGGACACAGAAGCCCCCCGACGAACATGTCGGCAGAAGACAGCCCTTGATAAAGAACCAGGCTGCAATGTTCTCTGTGCAGCCAATTCTGAATTGCAGAAGGAACAAAACAGCTTATTCTCCATGCCCTCACCCTGAACCGTGCACAGACAGAGTACCCACTTACTATCTTAGCTGAATGCAGATCAGAAGGGATTGTTACCATTTTATACAGTCTGGTGCTTGCAGAAAGATCAATATGATTCAACATTCTGTTTTCACTTTTAATTCCACATTGCTTTCCATTGTGTTTTCCATGCGTTCTGCTTTAAAAAAAAAAAAAAAAAAAAAAAAAGCAGCCCTTTCCCCTCGGGGGTTGTTTTGAAGCTCCCCCTAAAGCTACGGTGTATGCGATCTGTCTATACCTCTGCATTTCCGGGAGAGCCTGCACATCTACGTGCAATTCCTTTCTCACCAAAAAAAGCAGGAGAGCGTTTTGCTTTGGAGCCTAACATCAGGAAGCCATCAGAACAACCCCCGGCCCTCCCCACTTAGGGGCGGGGGGGGAGGGGGGCAGGAAAAAAAAGCTTGTTGGAGCTGCTTCTGCTCATCAGTTCACAGTCTCTTTTTCATGGCACTTCAATCTCTCTCTCCGGAGTCAGATTTTTCAAGAAATACTGTGAGAAAAAGAAGAAGAATAAAAAAGCATCTGCAACCAGCTCAGAAGATTTCTAATGCTTTTCGGCTTGACTGACTTGGAGTGCGTTGATTACGCCATTTATATTTTCTTCAGGTACCTGTGGAAAACCAGAGAGAGATGGAATGTTTCCAGTAAAAGCCACGGAGGGCCAACTGTGGAGAGAGAGGCTAGTTAAGAAAGGCAGCACACAACACTAACGTGAACCATGGGGAACATCATATTTACCTTGGGCAGGATTCTTGGAGCTCCACCATTAATAAAAACCAGATGTTTCCAGGCTCAGTCTGGTTTTAGTGGTCTTAAGAAACAGACTGCCTTGTCCTACGTGTTATAACCTGACAGCACAGGATGGCTGGCTCTCAACACTGCCCAGGAGGCCTGGCAAATAACTAGGCAGTCGGTAGCAGTGTTGTACGTTGTACCAGGGCTGAGGAAGTCTCAGGTCAAGCAGTAAATCAATTTTTCTTAGGTTCCAAGTGGGTTGCCCCCCATTTCCCCTCAGGAGTCTTTCCCGGCAGCGACACAGCCAACTGGCAAGGAATTTCATGTTGGCAGCTCTGTTTTTTAAAAAGCACTTCCTCTGGGCAATCAACAGGGACTCCGCTTGCAGCTGCAGACAACTCTCCCCACCGCGTGCTTCTGGGCACTGCCAGATGGAGGAGCAGATGCCGGCAACACCAGCCAGCACGAGGAATGGGAGAGAGAACGAAAAGAGAGATGTGACGGCCCCCTGAGGGGAATGCAACTGGCAACACCGCCAAGGTTCCTCCGCTGCGTCCGGCCAAAGGGGACTATCATCCCACCCGCCAACAGCACAACTTTCACAGGAGAGCGCATGAAGGGAGGAGAGGGGCCATCAGCAGGGGACACAAGATGCATTTAATTCTTGAGAAACACGCAGGAGAGTCTGGCCAGGCCAGTGCGCATCTTCCATCTAGGGCAGGAGTGGAAAACAATTTTTGATGGCGGGGGGGCACTCTACGAATTTGGAAAGTGGTTGAGGGCCGCACTCTTCCATGTGATCACCTTCCATGTGATCACCATTAGGAAGAGGTCCGGGGTCTGGAATGGAGGTTGGGTGCAGAAGGGAGCTTGGGGTAAGGTATTGGGGTGCAGGAGGAGGTGTGGGGTCTGGGAAGGAGTTTGGGTGAAGGAGGCAGCTGTGACCTGCATGGGGTGCGGGGGTTTGGGTTGTGACCTAGGGCAGGAGGGGGTTGTGGCCTGGGGCAGGGGAGTAAGGTGCAGGGTCTGGGAGGGGGCATAGGGTTCAGGAGGGGGACACAGAATTGGGAGGAGGGGGATGCTGGGGGGCAGAGGCAGGCTCTGGTTGGGAGACTTACCTGAGTGACTCCCAGCCAGCAGTCCAGCAGGGTTCTCAGGCAGCTTCCCCCCAGGGCCACGTGCGCTGGTGACTAAGAGCCTGAGTGGAGGGTGGGGGCGGGGGAAGGGTGCTTCGCATGCTGCCTGTTCTTCAAACAGGCAGCTCCCATTGCCCAGAAATCCACCAATGGGGGAAGCCCCACTCCCCCGGGCTCACAGCTGAGAAAGAGAAACGGCTGCAGCAGCCACTTTTCTGAGAATCTGCCCACGGCTCCCCGCTGCATCCGTGGTCTGGATCTGGCCCCTGGGGCCATATTTTGCCTAGGCCTGATCTAGGGAGAGAATGGTCCTTGGCATGATGGAAACTGGGGCCCCGGCTCCCCCTTAGAGAAGACTTTCTTGCCAGGAACCAACTCTGGGAGTTTTACTGACACACAAGCTTCAAAACAAGAGCAAAGCCACTTTGAGGTGACACCGGCTAATGACGTGTCCCGCCTTCAGCAGGCGGAGAGGGGACATGACGCGCCCCGCGGCAGCTGCTTCTTTGGAGGATGCAACACTTGGGTTAAGCTCCTCTCAGCTGTTTCATAAATGAAGAAGAGAAGAAAGGGGATGGAAGGAATTAACTGCTTTCCCCCTTTTAAATCTTAATAGCTCTGGCAGACTTCCCAAAATGAAAAAGAACTGAGGATGAGAAGACCAAGTATTTTGGCAAGCCTGTAGCAAGAGAGCTCTCCTTGGGACTGAAGAATCTCTGAAGTAGATTGGGGCTGATGTGCTTCTACAAGAGCTGTCTGAAACAACAGAGCTCTCAAAAGCCATTCCTCTTTGCGCAGCAGGAGCATTCAGAGGCAATCAGTCTCCAGGCCTTGGAGCCCCTGAAGCCTTGCAAGCTCTCGAAGAGTGGAGTGAAAGCTGGAGAAGTAGGGCCAGGAATCACGGGGGAGCCTTGCCAATCAAAGGCTAGAGGCCTGGTCTCTGGAGCGGAGTCAATGTGGCGTGTTCGCCAGGGGTGCAGTGAAAGGCAGTAACTTGTTCCACAACTGCTGACCTTCCAGACGTGTTGCTCAGGTCATTGTCAAGGTAGACATGTGTGCCTGCCACGTGCACCGGTGCCGGAAGCTTTTCCTTTAGCAGCACCTGAGGGGAACCAGCTCTGGTGCTGGTAGAAACACGGCTAACCTCAGTCCCTTCTTGCTGGAAGGAGGGCGGGTCATGGAGTGGGCACGAGCCACATATCTCGAAGAACACGAGTTGCAGAACAGATCTTTTCTTCTTCGAGTGCTTCCTGCCCCTTCCACATCAGAGGACTCTCAAGTGGGGCTGGATTTATACACAAGCTAAATAAACTACAGTTTAGGGCCCCAGATTATGACAGGCCTCTAAATAAATTTAAAAAAAAGACTTTAGTATTTCTATTTTCATTGGCCTTTCTGTGAGAGTACTACACTTTCTGTGGGAATGCTATGGGGCTTCTTAAACTTGACCTCGCTTAGAGCTGAGGTGGGGAATCTCGGGCCTGGGGGCCGGGTGCAGCCTGGATCCGGTCTGGCTTGTCTGGATCCGGCCCTTGAGGATCAGCATTGGGGAGCCCATGCCGGCGCTCCAGCCATCCACCCGCAGGGCTGGAGCACACAAAATCAACTAGGATTCCCACCCCAGCTTAGGGCCTTGGCATGTCTTAATCCGGCCCCGCTCCCAAACTCTACCAACGGAGGTGGGTAGAAGTTAGTGGCATTTTGTAAACCCCCTTGGCTCTGTTGCCAGGCTTTTTACAGTGGTCACAGCTTTTAAAGCCCGAGGAAGAGGGATGCCCTGTCGTGAGGCTAAATCCCCTCTGAGGGACTAATTCTAATCTCACACACACTAAGGGTATGTTAGACTACAGATTTTTTTCCAGAAAAACTGCCCTTTTTTCGAAAAAAAACGTCACCTGTGTCCAGACTACAGCCCTGTTCTTTGGAAAGTAAATCGAAAGAACGCGCCGCTTCTTTCGAAATTGGCAAACCTCTTTTTACCAGGAAGAATGCCTTTTTTGAAAGAGCTCTTTCGAAAAAAGGCATGTGTGGACGTGGGGGAAGCAGTTAAACAAAAAAAGAAAAGAAAAAAAAAAAGGCCTGCCAGACGTGGTTCCGGGCGCCCTTTTTGTGAGAGAGTGTCCGAGCAGTCTGGATGCTCTCTTTTGAAAAAGTGAATCGCTTTTTCGATCTGCTTTTGTAATCTGGATGCTCTCTTTCGAAAGAAGCTTTTTCGAAAAATCTCTTTCGAAAGAAGCTTGTAGTCTAGATGTACCCTTCGAGAACTACTTCACTACTAAACTATTTACACCTGAAAGCTGAGACCAGACAGATCTGTGGGGAGAGCTTTGTCAGAGCACAGGAGCCTTCCAGCACCATCCCTGGCGGTAAGAAGGGACGGAGGGTGGGAAGGGCTGGTGGAACACCTTACGGGTGCCACTCTAAGGGGCACTGGAGCCAGTCCCCTGCAGATACTGCTGAGGGAAAAACTTCTGGCACTGATGCTTGTGTCAAGCAGCGTGGCAGAGCATTCTGGGAAGCCACACGGAACAATTTCCTTTGGTTGGAAAGGGGCTCTGGACAATGTTATGAAAGAAAATGTTGCAAGGAAAATGAGAGAGAGTTCAGTAGGTCTCTCTGGGTGGGGAGCTTAAACAGCTGGCTTGATTCTAGCCAAGGCAGCAGAAAGTTTAAAGGTGTTTAAAGGGCCAGCGGAGAGAGACTCTGAGATGAGGTAATTGCCTGCAGAATCTCGACAATTACAACCACTGCTATTGGGCTGCAAATGGCCAGCGGGCCTACAAATCGCGGCCTTTGCAAGCAGCTCTCGGCATCTTTTGCCACATGCAGAAAGCCACGTGAACCTGGACCCACAGCGACAATCAGGAATGCAGGGCAAAGCTAACAGTATTGACTTAAAAATGGTGATTTATTGGTGTATCTTATCAGTGTAGTTAATGTTCAAGAAAATAAGCCAAATGTATACAACAATTTGACCTTTGCTATCTGGAATAATGTTGACTTTTACTCTGTGCACACACAGCCCATGGGCTGTAAATGGGTTGTGTCAACTGTGAAAGGCAGAAGCAATTAGTTAAAAAATAAATAAAACAAACCCTGAATCTGCTCTTTGAGCTTTTACAGGTCAAAAGTCAGGGAAGGGTAGTAAGTCTGTGGTGAGGTAATGGGAACTGGAATGCAAACAATAAAGGACAGGGTTGAAAAAAGCTCCCTGTCACAGATTTATGTTAGCGGAGATTATCAAATGGACTGCCGATTTGCTGCCCTGTTGAGGAACAGATCCAAAGCAAACTCCGGCCTGGCTGCATCCTGCAGGTGCTGCAC